TTGGGATTATCAAACACCTCTAGTTTTCCAATGCCTGACTGAAGGAGACATGACAGACTATTGTTTGATTGCGTGTGATGAAGGGAGCTCTCCGTGAAGGGGCAAGGAGTGCTTATTCACAGGGACTCCGGGTGGTAGTGTGTGTGTGTGTGTGTGTGTTTATATAACCATATATATATATGTATATATATATTTATTTATTAAATATTTTATTTATTTATTTGACAGAGAGAGAGATCACAAGTAGGCAGAGAGAGGGAGAGAGAGAGAGAGGAGGAAGCCGGCTCCCTGCTGAGCAGAGAGCCCGATGCGGGAGCTCAATCCTAGGACTCTGAGATCATGACCTGAGCCGAAGGCAAAGGCTTAAACTAACACTGAGCCCCGCAGGCGCCCCTCGGGTGGTAATACAGATGGAAACACACGACGCTCTCATCCAGCTCCGGCACAGTAATGGGAGTCCAGAGCACTGGCCCCTTGCAGGAGGATACGTGTGTTTGTAACTGACAGTCGTGTCTCTGCTGCCGTGGTTTAGACGATGCCAGGGCTCCAGAAAAATAAAGATGCGTTTTGTGGCCCTGGAAAAAACCAGCCACCTTCTCACTTCACACCTGCTTGGGGGGCTACCGTGCAAACAACAAAACCAAACAGAAAATAACAAACGTTGGCGAACGTGGAGGGAATTTGGAACGCTTGTGCGCTGTTGGTGGGAATGTAAAACGGTCCAGCCGCTGTAGAGAACAATATGGTGGTTCCTTAAAAAATTAAAAATAGAACTGCCATATGAACCAGCCATCCCACTGCTGGGTAGCTCCCCAAAGGAACTGAAAGCAGGGTCTTGACGAGATCCCTGTGTATCCATGTTCACAGTGGTATTGTTTACAGTCGCCGAGGGAGGCACATTTGGGTTGTTACCCAAACAGATGCATGGATGAATTAAATGTGGTCTCCGCATACAATGGAATGGTATTCAGCCTCAGGAAGGAAGAATGTTCTGGTATGCGCTGCAGCACGAGTGAACCTTGAAGACACGGTGCCAGGTGAAATAAGCCAGTGGCACAAAGACGAATCTGTTACTCCACGAGCGTGAGGTGCCTAGGGTTGTCAGCATCACAGGGGCAGAGGGAGAAGGTAGCTGGCAGAGGCTGGGGCGGTGGGAGGCTAGGGTTTAACGGGTACAGGGTTTCCGTTTCCCTGGGGAAAGACAGATTCTGGAGATGGGTTGCCCAACAGTGTGAATACACTGGACACGGCTGAAACGCACTCTTAGACATGGTTAAGATGGTAAGTTTCATATGTTTTTTTAACCACAGTTTTTTGGGTGTGTGTGTGTGTGTTTTAAAGCAGCCGTCTTAATTCACGGATGTGGGTGGTTTTTAATGAGCGGTGTTACTCAGAACAAATGTAGTCAAGTTGCCCACCATTAAACCAGGCTGTATTATGAGTGTGGAGTGTGTCCTTCTCTTGCTCTTTGCTGAAAAGGGAAAGAATCCCGCTTTCGCCTACTCCTGAGAGTGGTCTCTCGATCCAAGCTCATTTTAGCCTTCACGGCGTAGGGGTGGTTGTCCCGCCGCCGAAGCTGAGCCCTGACCATGGGGTAGGCGCATTCCACATGCGTCCATCTGATGCCTCGCTGCCTGTAGCATTTATAGTACAATGTACTCCGTTTTTATTTGCTTCTACTGGGATGAGAGCCAAGCCAGTAAAAGGCAAACAGCATTAATTCAGTGATGACATATGCCACTGAAAACTGTTTTTCTTTTCTTTTTTTTTTTTTAATTTTTTTTTTTTTTAAAGCAGAATGGAGGCACTTTACTCAGATTCTGTTGGATGCTGAAATAAAAGCTGGGAGGCAGAGGGGATGTGGGGAAGGTCATTCATCCTTGCCTCCCTCTTGTGAATGCTCAGAGCAGGTTAGGTAGCATCTTGCTCCAAGTTTTATCTGGAAGACATTTCAGAAGGAGGCTCATTTTTCTGAGTCCCAGCTCCAGCTGGCCTCCCTCTTCTTACCTTCCCCGCATCCCTTTATCACAGCCACGGGCGTGGAGGGAGAGGTGGGTGGAAGTTGTTACCCCCATCCCATTTCACCCTGGTGCACGCAGGCCAGCAAGGTGCAGCTCTGGAAAGAGTATGAGAAAGGTCCCACCAAGTTCATTGAGGGGAATGGCCCCCATGGTATGGTTGGAGCAAGAGCCTGGTTAATTTCTAATTGATTGAAAAATAAAATCTCTTTGGTGAAGTTAGTTATTCGGTTAGGAAAGGTGCCTTGTCCAGAAGCAGTGCCTTCTCTTGAGCCAGGTTAGTGATTTCAGAATCCCTTGGGTCAGAACGCCCCCAGCAGACTGGAATTAGAGGGCCTAGAGTGAGCTGCCGTCAGGGCCAGGGGTGAGGACGCAGGTCTGGTGTGTGACATTAGGGAGCAGCGAGGACTGTGGCAAACTAGGGAGACACGCCCTGTCCAAAGAGAATGTGCTGCCAGTTTCCAGCTGATGTTTGCCATTCCTGATGGAATTCAGGCCCGTGTTGCCAACCTCAAACACTGCTGGTAGGCGATTCCATTGTTGGTTTATGTGAACTCTATTGCCTGTTAATGTTGGCAGCTACCTCGCAATCTAATAATAATTAGTGGGGGAGGGGTGCCAAGCCAGGCACACGTGTGGGCTGCCAGTTCACACAACCCACAGCAGGCAGGAATCGAAGGCTAGTTCTGCTGGGAAAACCAGACCATCTGGATAAATCAGAAATGGAGATGAGGGGAGGAAAAGCTCTGTTAACTCAAAGGTCCTGCACTTATCCTGGTGTCAGGATTTGGGCGTTGGGGAGGGGAGCACACCCTCCAGGAACGGGGCAGCCAAGTTCTTTTAGGAGGCAGGCTGGGTTACAAATGAGGCTCTGAATGAAAGTGAGCTGCTCCCAACAATTGGGAGTGTCTCATTTTTACCCCATTGGCAGCCCTGTTGCCTGATTCCATGGGAAAGAAGAGAAGAATGAACTCTCTGGGTGCCTCCTCGGTATCAGGCCCTGTGCTCCATGCCTGCCTGGTCAAGCCAGCTTCAGGAGCATGGGCTCTGTGCTCAGAAGGCCCTGTGCTGGCCTCCATGCTCGGCTGTCCCCATCTTGAAACTCTTTAATAACTTAAGAACAGGCCTCCTGATTTCATTTTGCACCTGGCTCTGTAAATTACATGGCCATCATTTGCACAATCTTCTTCACATTGGATGATCTTGTTTACTTCTTATAAGTCCTCTGAGAGATGAGCGTCATCATGTCTCCCTTTGAAAGAGGAGGGACCAGGGGCTCAGAAATGGGCAGTCACTTACCCAAAGTCACACAGCTAGAAGGGCCTGAGCCAGAATTTGTCATCAGGTCTGCCTGACTTTGAAGTGCACGATGTTGGTTGTACGGAATAGTGTATAGTTTGTTCCAGTGTCTGGGGGCCTTAGCATGGGGACACCATTGGAGGACAAATCCAGGAGCGGGAGAGTACATACCCAGCCCAGGCAGCATGTCACATGTGCCTAGTAGTTTCACCGTTTTATTATACCTGCTCCTCTGAGGGCCTGTCGGGGCCACCGTGGAAACAGGTGTTCCTGCTGAAGGACAGCAAGACGAGTGGTGCCAGCTGGTCTTAGGGCCAACCGGGAGGTTTGGCCTCCACTGCAGAATGCTAATGCCCAGCTCATTGGGGCTCCTGTGTGATCGCCACTTACGCTCTCAGATACCACAGGGCAATCGCCCTCAGCATCTGCCTTGTGCTGCTGGGGCGTTGAGGAGGGAGAATGTGGGGCTGGTGATGGTGATCATCCCCTTTGAGAACTTGAACCCGCTGCCAAACGGCTACTAAGCAGCATTCTACGTGGTTTCTATGTACTTGTTCATTGAAGCCGCACACCCCCACATTGGTGGGCAGTACGATTGTCTTCATTTACAGAGGAGGAAGCAAATGCACAGAGAGGTTAAGGAACTTGCCCAGAGCTGCAGAGCTCATAGGAGACTGGGCTTCACTACTATTCTTCCATGTACAGTTGGGAGTCATCCCTCCCTTGGGAGAACCCTGGTAATGAATAGGAGAGCAGTTATAATTGCGTATGACGTGTACAGTAAGGGAAGTACGTGGCAAGGGTGTTGACAAGGACGAGAGGAGGTGCGTAGCACTGCTCCACGCACGCCAGGCACATCTTCCCCTTGAATTTTGCCACCCCTCCTGTGGAGCGGGTTTTTTACCCAGGGAGAACGTCAGGCCCAAACTGATAACAAGTTATTAGTTGAAAGTCACATAGAATGGCAGAGCCTGGATTTGAACCTGAAATCTGAACTGTACTCGGCCCTCCGGAGATAACACAGCCTGAAGGCTTGGGGAGGCCTCATGGAGGAATTAGCATCTGAACCAGGATTGGGGGATCGATGGGGCCTTCTGGGGGCAAGCTGGAAAAGGCATTCCTGGAAGTGGGATGACAGGGACGAAGGCGGGTGGGCGGGGAGCAAGGAATCAAGAGCAATGGGCTGGCACAATTAGGAAGGTACTTTATAAACTTTATAAACTGTGAAGTGCCGTGTTATAGTATGTCATCAGAGCGTGCCTGCCTCTGTCTCCTTCCCTGTGAACCGGCCTCCATCTGGCCCTATGTGATGCACAGGGCTGTGCGTGAAACAAAGGAGGTGATCAAAGGAAGCTAGAAGAAGCCGGTGAAAAGCTCTGTAACATGCTTCTTCATTACTCGGGAGCCTTGCCTCTTTATAAATCTGCTTTCAGGGCCAATTATTTCTTTCCTGGGCAGCCCACCTTCTCTGACTTGGAAACCCAGACTGATTAGCCCCGCACCGCAGCCACCCTGCAGAGGGACACTCTGGGCTGGCTGAACGCTGGCCTCATTTTTGCAGAGCAGGAGGATCCTGGCTGAGCACAAGTCAGCCTGCAGCCAGCTGTAGATTTTTTTCCCCGGGGCTTCTCCCCCTGCTCACCGTGAACCTTTGCTTTCTCACCACCTGCCTCCCATGATTAGCCGTGAGCCCCGCTGCCCTTCCCAGCCCCGCACGGCAGCCATCGGAGCCTCATTTGCGCCACCTGGAGCTTTCGGGCAGTATAAAGGAGAGTAGGTTCCTTCTGGAAGCTCCTGGGGACTTGGGAAGATCCTCGGGGCCTGTGAGAACCAGAGGGAAGAGCTGCTTGGGTAAGAGTCCTCTGCGGACAAGAGAGAATCCCGGATCATTTCAGCCTGTGACCCTCTAGACGGGAGCAGAGCGGGGCTTCCTGTCTCCAGTTGTCTGTGAACTTTAGACGCGTGGGGGTGGGGAGTAATGGGACGGGAGGGAAAGCTGGAGACCCAGGCTCTCCAGGGGTCTGAGGGTGGGGACTGCTCGGCCGAAGCGTCTTTGGTGCCCCCTGTGGACTGTGCTGAATTGAGTCTATAAGTAGCTGGCTGGG